CCCCCCCCATTGTTGTAGGAGTTAGAGAACTTGAGCAGGTGCTTCGAGAGCCCGTTCATTTAACAGGTGTTTATGGAGTGCGTGTGCCATGATATGAAGATGAGGGATGTAAGAGGACGCACGGTGCCTGTTCTCCAGTTCAAAATAGGACTTCTCCGTAACGCATTAATCCGTTCCCCTTGCAAGCGGTGTGTCTCTCCCATGGGGAGACATCCTACAGGCGCCGCTGTGGTCAGGGAGCCTAGAGGATGGTGGGGGAGGGGCGGCTGGCTCCGGAGGAGAAGGGGCGCGGACGCCGCTCGCAGCGCCTGGAGACGAGGAGGGCGGCCCCCGGGATCCCCGGAGGCGGCGGCAAGCTGCCCGGCCCCGCCCCCTCGGAGGGTAACGGCGTCGCCAAACTCCAAGGGACCCGCTCCCTTCACACCGGCGTGATACCTGGCGGGAATGGAGCCTGAAAGGTTAGGATTGGCGGCTAACTTCGTAATATTTGCTGTGTTGGTCAGGGTTTACAGCGTTAACGGACAGGTTCAGCCTGACCTGCAAGTCGGAACGTGACATGGACAAACTGGCCCACATCTTCAGCTCTTACGTTAGCGACATCGTGGAGCGTGAGTGACCACCGTGGGGGAGCGAAGGAGGTGTGGTCTGGGCTCCTGAGGGTTCCTAGCAGAAGGGGGCCTGGGGGACTGCAAAAGGGGTCCTAAAGGGTCGTTCTCTCAGTGTTACTCATCAGTTCTTCAGGTTGCCATTGACAAGCTAGGTCTTTGCCTGGGTCTGCCATTCTGTCCAGTCTCACATCCTGTTGGCTCAACGATCAGAAACAGGAATACAGATCATTTTAACTTTGCATGTTTGTATTTTATTTCAAAATAAAGTATTCCTCAGGGTGTCTCTTCTAACAACAATGTAATGTGCCTCGTGTGTATTTATCAGATGTAATTTATAAAACGCCTTTCCATGCCAGTATTGCATTTTGATCCTGGGAGGTAGGAATGAGTGTTTATTTTCTGCCATGTACTAAGCTTAGGGCATATTTGCCTAATCCAGAAAAGAAACTCCTTATTTGATCAGTAAACATATTTTGAGTACCTACTCTGTGACATGCACTGTAATAGGTGCAGAGGATGCAAAAACCTACTCTTGAGGACCTTTCAGTCTAGTTAGGCCTACTCAGCAGAAATGACTCTGGCCCTATACTCTTTAATATTTATATTCCTGTTCTTTACTGACAGTGCCCCATACAGTTATGTCCATCGTTCTGAGATTCACCAGAATACTTACTTTGTGGCATCTCCTTTAGAAACAATTATTTGACTCACCCCTTGCCCCCGAGGAGCAAGTATTAAACGTCTTTCAGTTTTTCTCACCATGTATAGATGAAAGGGAGAGACAGAAATTATGAATTAGGTAGGAACTGTAACACCAGGAACTTATGGGTACTAATAATACAGGTAAATAAGACATAGTACCTGCCCTTGTGGAGTTTCCATTTTAGTGGGAGAGACAAAGAATAAACAAGCTACTTATAGATTATATATTCTATAATGGAAATAAATAGGGTGTAATGGTAAAAAAAAAAAAAAAAGAATTATAGGGTGAGAGTGTCTGTATTAGGGTAGTCGTAGGTGGTGTTTAAGCTGAGACGTAAGTGATAAGAGGAATACCTTGTGAAGAGCCAAGGGTAAAGCACTTCAGACGGAAGAATGCCAAGTACAAAGGCTCTGAGATGGGAGAAAATTTGGCATGTTCTAGGAACTGAGAAGGCCAGTGTAGCTAGAGCATAGCTAGTGGAGGAAGAGTGGCTTGAGGTGAGGTTGGAGATCTTCAAGCTGTATAGGCCATAGTAAGGAGTTTGGATTATACATGTTCTTACAAAGGGAAACTGTGGAAGCGTTATAGCAAGGGAGTGATATGATCCGATTTACATTTTTTAAAAGCTCATTTTAGCTGCCTCATAGAGATTGGATTATAGGGAGCTGTTGAAGGGTAGGTAGTGAGAATGGAAGCTGGAAGAGACCATTGGAGCAGTTGTGGAAAGATAATGGAGATTTGGTCTAGGGCAGTGGTTCTCAACCTTGGCAGCACATTAGATAACCACTTGGGGGCGTTTAAAAATCCTGATGTCTAGACCAATTAAATTAGAATATCTTGAGGTAGGCCCAGAATCTGCATTTTAAAAGTTTCATTGTGCAGTCAAGGTTGAAAACATTTCGTCTCAAGATACGGCAGTGGAGTCATATGGAGATGGATTGATTTGATTTATAGGGTGTTCCCCCAAAAAATGTATATGCACACTTTGAATAGTTATAAAGGCGGTATTTATTAAAATGCATTTCATTTTCAAAATTGAACTATCAGCTGTTAAAGTGTCTACACATTTTTGGAGGGGGACATCCTGTATACTTTGCAGGTTCAATAGACAAGATTTGCTTATGCATTGGATTTCAGTGGGAAGTGGTGAGGAAAGGGACTCTCGAGTTCTCAACTTTCATAACTGAATTGATGGTGGCATCACCTACCAAAATGGGAAAGTCTGAGCTTTGAGAAAGAAAATCAGGATTCTGTTTTGAGTATATTGAGCTTGAACTATCAATAAGTCATTCAAATAGAGAAATCAAAGTGTGCGTTGATCGGGAGAGTATAAATAAAGAGAAAGAACCCAAGACTGAGGCTTGAGCAACTCCAGAGGAGAATTATGACTAGGGAGAAAGAACCTACAAAGGAGACTGTAAGATGACAGTGAGGTGTAGGGTATTGTGGTATTCATGAAACCAAAGGGAAAGTAGTGTCTCTAGAAGAAGATGGTGGCTAGCTGGGTTGAAAATGAAAGGTGTCTAATATGGTGAGGTCAGAAAAAATTGAATTTAGCAAGATAAATGCTGTTGATGATCTTAATAATTTTAATGAAGTGACAGAGATGGAAGTCCACTTGGAGTAAGATGAGAAGTGAATGATAGAGAAAAAATTTGAGTAAATAGCATATGAGGAGAAAATTATATATAGTCAACTCTTGAGAATTTTTTTGCTGGGAATGTAGCACAAAAATGGCCCTAATAGCTAGAGAAGAAGATAAAGTCAAGAATAGGTAGGTTAATTTTGCTGTGTTTTGGTTTTGTTTTTTAAAATATTTATAGGAATGATCCAGTAGAGAGAAGATAAGGGAGGGAGGGAAGTTCTTGAGAAGGTGAGCTGGGCTAGGATCCAGAGCACAAATAAGGGGATGGCTTTGAAGAGAATAGAAGTGCTTCTGCCATTTTAGAGAAGGTGATATAAGTAAAGACACATTTGGGGAGAAGCTAGGAGGAAGGAAGAGGAACCAAAGCCTTGGAATATACAAATAGACCAGAAAAGATGTAAGGAAAAACTCGGTAGGTCATTCTTTTGATCGTGTATGATTCTTCTGTGATCTGGTATAGCTGTGATTTTGACTTATTTTCCCCTCTCTCCCTTACCTAATTTCAGATGTGCTCTGTTTTGGAGGGGATATTCTAAATATCACAGGTATTATTTGTTTTTTTCTGAATATTTAAAGGACTGGCAGTGAGGAAGACTATATTTAGGTGGAGTCTGACATACTTATTCAGCATTGTTGGGTTATTTACTATATGCTGGGCCTGGGGAAATAAAGATGAGAAAGACACAATATCCACCACAAAGCACCTCCCAGTCTAATGGAAAAGCCTTGCCCATATTAAGCTCACATTGCTTTACATTTTGCTTAGATTAAATGGCAGAAAAACAAGTGCCTATATAGCATTCGTGAATAAACTGATGAGAAATTTGGTCATTAGTAGCAAAAGCTAAATGTAAGACAGGGAGTAAAAAGTCTCCTATCTGGAGAACTCTTAGGGTCATTAACAGCTTTATGCCACAGAGTTGGACCATCTCTTTATTTAAACTTAAGCCAGCCATAAAATTCTATTTGAATATGAACCTACATTTTGTGAACTTCTTTGCTACTACCTCTCCCCTTCTTTTAGTATACTGGTGGAAGGAAGATTACCATAACTATCCTTAAACCTTAGTAACATTTCAGCTTCTACCTAGTCATGTTTTTATATGCTCAATCATATTGAGGATCTAAAGCAATATTTTAACCTAGCATAATGTATAGAGCTAAGAAACCTTGCCTGACACCTTGCATGATATCTTCTGTATTATTAGGGATTTTGCGCTGGTCAGGTGAGTCCAGGTATTTGATCTCTGTCAGCCTGTCTTGTATCTCTGCAGGGAATGTGCTCCTGGCACTCTGGACAGTGGAACAGAATCAACTGAGTGACATCATTACCCTGGTTGCAAAATGTAGTCTGGAGATACAGGAGAAATTTGGGATCTACCATACCAAAGAAGGCCAGGACTTGCAGCTAAAGATAGGTAGTAGCTACTAAAAGCGATCCAGTTGAAAAAAAAAAAAAACCTATAAAAATTTCAAATGACAAATTGGGAAAAAAATATTTGCAACTCATATCATGTAGGCAAAGGTGAATTTTTTTAATGTAGAAAGAACATAAATTTTTAAAAACATATAGAAACTTTAAAAGACTAACATTCTAAGAGAAAAATGGGCATGAATAAGTAGTACAAAGACACAGAAATACATAAGATAGTCAGCTTCATAAAAAGAAAAATGCCAATTGAGATCATTTCTTATCTATAGATACACAAAAATTCAGATGCTAAACACACAGTTGTTGAGGCTGTGAAGAGTAAGCCTTCTTATGTGATACTGATGGGAATCAGCAATGATACAATGGAGGATGATTCAGTAATCTCTATCAAGATTACAAATGCATCTTTTTTTTAATATATTTTTATTGATTTGAGAGAGAGAGAAAGGGAGATAGAGAGCTAGAAACATCGATGGGAGAGAAACATCAATTAGCTGCCTCCTACACATCCCCTACTAGGGACTGAACCCACAACCCCAGCATGTGCCCTGACAGGGAATCCATCCAGCAACCTTTTATGCATGGGACAACGCTCAATCAACTGAGCCACACGAGCTGGGCAAATGCATTTATTCTTTATCCCAGCAATCCTACTTCTGAACATTTATCCTATAGGTATACCTGAGGATATATGAAATATCATATGTACAATATTATTGATTGCAATGTGGCTTATAATAAAAGATTGAAAACAACCCATCTGTAGGATACTAAATATGTCTGCTCAATGAGATTTTCTTCAACTTAAAAAAATATGTTCTGATATCTCCAAAATTTAGTTGAGAAAAAGTAAGTAGTATTTTATTGTATGGGTATACTACAATTTATTTATCCACTCACTTTTTTAAAAAAGTTCTGGCTAGGAAAAGAGCCAAGACTCAAATTATAAGAGAAAGTTTATTTAGAAAGTCACAGAGGTAGAAAAAGTGAGATATAGAAGAAATGGGCACAGGAAACAACTTATAGCAAAAGACGGGCCCTTGGAGCTTAGAGGAGAGAGAGATAATCACCTTGAGAGATGAAAGAGGAAGAGGAGGTAAGCCCAGAGGAGAGAGTAAGCCCTGGGGAAAAGGGGGTTGGGAAAGGTGTGGGCATGCTTCATAGAGCCACTATCCACTCACTTTTGATGGATAATTGAGTGGTGAGGTTTTGGCTGTTATGAACATCTGTGTATAAGTTTTTGTATGGACATATGTATTCATTTCTCTTGGGTAAATACTTAGGAGTGGAAGGTCTAGATCATATGGTAGATGTATGCTTACCTTTTTAAGAAATTGCTAATCTTGTCCTGACTGGTTAACTCAGTTGGTTAGAGTGTCATCTGGATACACCAAGGTTGCAGATTCAATCCCCGGTCAGGACACATACAAGAATCAACCAATGAATTTATAAATAAGTGGAACAACTAATTGATGTTTCTATCTCTCTTTCTCTCTAAAAGTTAATAAATAAATTTTTAAAAATTGCTAATCTTTTTTCCAAAGTGATTGTACCATTTTACATTCCCACCAGCAATATATGAAGGTTCCAGTTTCTCTATGTCTTTGTCAATACTTATTACTGTCTGTTTGAAGAACTTCATTTAACATTTCTCATAGTATGAGTTTGCTGGAGATGTGTTAGCCCAGCTTTTGTATGTCTGGAAAAATCTTTATTTTTTCACCTCTTTTTTTTTTTTTAATCCTCACTTGAGGATATTTTTTCCATTGCTTTTCAGAGAGAGTGGAAGAGGGAAGCGGGAGAGAGAGAAACAGAAACAGAGAAACATTAATGTGAGAGAGAGAAATCAATTTGTTGCCTTCCACATGCCCTGAC